GGTATACGTTACACTTTGTTACCCATGGCTGAAGAGAATATTCCTAAGGCCCCAAAAGCCAATGAGAGAAATTTTCTTACTATTACCCATCATCATGCTGAATTTATGAAAGAATGTAAAGATACCCACGAGGTACATTTGTTGAAGGGAAAAAATATGAATGAAACACTAGAGGAAAATAAAATTCCAGTGGAAATGCAGGGACTACTTGATGAGTTCCATGATGCAGTTCCAGATGAGTTACTACATGAACTCCCACCCATACGAGATATACAGCATCACATTGATTTTGTTCTTGGTACTAGAATCATAATTCCTCTTGTAAATTCTTCAAAGGTTAAGGTTTGTGGTCGATGTGTAGCTACACCAGAAGACCTTAGTTTGATGCAAGAAATTGTATTGTGTGTAAGCTTTCACATTCACAGTTCCATTTTCATTGAGGGTGATAAGTCTTCATGGAAGTTAGAAGTTCCTTCATACTTYGATTCTACTCTTTGTCCTCTTCCAACTCTTTTCAAATTGCTGAAAATTAAGTCATATCAGAAGGTAGAAGTTATCCCTTAGGATCTTGACAAGCTAATTTGTTAATTAGCTAACCAGTATGGGTAATTTAAGAAATTTGCTCTTAAGATTACGTTGTATATATTCACTTTTAAGGGTGTTCTTTTTTTGGATTTTGAGAGAGGGAAAGTTGGTCAATAGAATTTTGATTCCCATTGACCATGAATCCTATGTTCTTTTTTTCAGATTAATGTGAGGACCAGGAAAAGTTTATTTTCCTAGATATCACTTACCCGGGTAAGTGATACACATCTGTGGATAAATAATTTTACCACCAGGGGGGAAGTTTCCAACACTTGAATGGGACAAAAATGCCCCTTTTAATAATGGATTTTTATGATTAAAATGGTCATTTCCTTTTTTTTACCTGAGAAATAAAAGAACATGGATAAATACACTTACCCAGGTAAGTGTTTCTAGGAAAAACTTACCCATGTAATTGCATTTACCTGGGTAAGTAACTTACCGAAAAGCGAAGGGGGACTTAGTCTTATTTTAAAACCTCTTGTTTATAAGGTATTTGCCCATAATCTAATTTTGCATTTAATCCTGAGGTTAATAATGATTTTACAAAATTTTCCTCTATTTTCCCTTGTTATCTAGCATAAATACAGAAAATTATATCTATGACAAATATTAGCACAAAATAACAAAAAGGATGCAATAACATGGCATCCAAAATATAAATAACCGAAAACCTACAAAATATACATGTATACAGAACAAAAAAGGACCCAGAAGAGGGGCAAACACATGGTTAAACGTGGTTGTGTGGCTCTGATAGACTATCACAGGACATAGACAGTTCGCTGGATATCACGTACCACTAAATTACTTTTCATATTTACCTGTGGTTAGTCTTTAGATGATCGCTTTTACCGCTTTGTCCTCTTCTCTGCACTTATTAAAAGAAAAAAAATGAAAAAGAATTAACTTATTATCTAAGATGGCTTGAACTCAAGAACTATAGCATTTTAACTAGGGAATTCTAAGGTTACTCACCAAATATATTTGACCTCAAAGGGAACCGTAATGTTGATCCTTTCATTTTCAACTCCCTGAATTGTTTGCTTTTACTAGGTTTTTCACCTTTTGGAGGCGTACTGCTACTTTCCCCTGCAAAAATATCCATGCCTTTCTTTACCTTTTCATGATAAATTGCAGGTGGTACAAGTCTCAACTGAGGTAAGTTCTCAAGCTGCACAGATTTCTTGCCCTTCTGAAGATTATTCAAGATTTCGAACTACAACATCCAGGTTTAGAACTAATTTAGTAATTAATAGGTTCAAAGTGTCAAGAAAATAAAAACTTAAGAAATGACCAGAAACCTATTTACCCGTGAAATTTGCTGAAGCCCATAGGGCTTCTCTAGTGCCTCAGGCTCATATGGATGTTGAATAATTGTAGTCCCTCGTGCATGTTGAGTTCTTGATAAAGAACTCTTGACCAGTCCACTATCTTCATGGACCGACTTACTTCTTGATTGGCGGCTCTTCTTTTTAGGCATACAAACAGGGCATCCAACTGACGAGCCCACTTCTAATGCTTCATTTTCCTGAAATTCGCACTGGAGATGGGTTGCATGGCCACAATTGAACACTCGAATGCTTGAGGAAGAGGATTCTTTTGAAAGGACAGAATTGCACAAACAACATAATAGGCTCTGTGGAGCATAGCCATGAGAAGCTCCTTTCTTGAGCAAGCTCATAGTATAGAAGGTATCATCCTCAATCAAGGATTTAGCAGTGACCTAACATTCAAAAAAAAAGAAAAAAAACTCGGTCAGTGCTAGAGAGCAAAAGAACATTGAATTTTCTGAAGTAGTGTTGCCTGCACAAGTAGGAAAAGTCAATGGTGTGGTGACTGTTTATTTATAAGAGTCAAAGGTCCACAAAAAATAGTGTGCACATATAAATTAGAACAACAGTATTATCTAAAGTTTGAACAAGTGAGCAACAGTGGATCATCAATTTGAAGTCAATGACTCAACATATAGGTGGTAAAATTAGTTATCAGAGAGTTGTTACTAGTTAAGGTTTGACAATAGGAAAATGGCAACACACAGTGGTGGACAACCCACCTCCTCAACCACTGAACTGGCAGCCCAACATGCATATCACATTACCACTATAGGATAAAATGTGGCAATATGGTCTTAACAAACAGAACGAATATGCACACAACAGATCAGGCATGTACCAACAATTACAAAAGCAGATAGTAAGTAGAATCACCAGAATTCTTCTCTCAAAGCCATATGTTCCTAGCATTCCCAATATCGTGAGCTTAAAATCGCCGAACTCTTGGCCACCATTATCAGAGAGAAGTTTAGTCATGATTGTTGGAAGACGTACATATCCAATCATTCCCTCAACAATTTTCCTGATGAACTGAGAAATGACTCTTCGTAAAACATGAGCACCTCTATGGGAATTTGAGATCCTCCACTTATTCATGGAAGCTCCTTTATCCTCTGCTGTACCAAATGATGCTGCTAGTATGCTGACATGATTTCCTCCTTCAGAAGCTGTTTGACTATCATAGGAATCTTTCAGAGGTTCACAAAACCTGTATTAGAAACTTAAATGATTAAGACAACAAGGAAAAGTAAAACATTCAACTAGTAATAGAATGTATAAGGTGGATATTCAAATAACGAGTGACTAGAAACTACTTGATCTGAAAACAGTAAATACTAGTGCAGTTCTACACTGCATGACTTTGCACATGGAAATTCAACATCCTCAGTGTTGCCAGGATGGATATAATGATTCTTTTCTTAGTTATTGGGCTTGTTTATAGTACTTTTTTTATATTTGTTTAATGGGCTCTTATTATGTTTCGTATTTGACCAATGGGCCTCTTTATTTTTTATTCCTTTATGGCTGCTGCCCTAATAAGGGTATTTGCAATTTCATCTCTTATTATACATCAAGTATAAAACATAGTGAGAACTCAATAGAACCCCACAATCTGATTGTGTTTTCTCCTAATTCTTCCCCCTTCTTTCTCTCTCCTGCCCTTCTCCCCCTTTCTTTCTTCTACCTTCTTCTCATGTGGTCTTAGTCCAGCTGGCGACATGAGATAGAGGGGATGCTGGAAGATTCAACTTGTTTGGCTGGTTTTGGTGATTTCTTCGAAAACTAGAAATTGCCGCCCAAGTGGAAATCTTGGAGAAGTGCCGAAGAGGCCAAGAGTTAGAAAAGGCCATAGAAGACCTATTAATCACTATTCGCTACAGTTAGGATGGTTATTATGGTTTGGGTGTGATGCTCAAGGTTTTCTGGGATTCATTTACATCCACATTGAGATCGATCTGGGCAGATTCCCTTTTGAATACTTTTGGAGAGATTGATTGCTTGACCTCTTGTTTTTGGATTACAAAAGAAACCCTGTAGTAGTGAACTCGTATTGGACTGAGGGTGGTTGGTCAGTTTGGCTTGTTTGGATTTCATTTAGTCAATATTGATTGCTTTTGGAGTGGTTTGGCAGCCTTTCCAAAGATCAAGTGGTGGTTCTCTTTAAACCCAACCTTGTGAAAAGCTCCAAGGTAGGTTGTTTTCTAATTAGGTGCACCTCTTCCTTGTTGATTGATCTTACTGATTGTTTTTTGGTTGTGATACATTGTTCTGGTACATGATGGAGATATCTAGAAATGATTGGAAACAGAATACAGCATCCAGGATGGTTTTGGGTGGGAGCTGGAGATCTCCAAAATGGAGGGCTAATCACTCCAAGACTAGATGGTACCATCTGAAATGGGTTTAATTTATGAAAATTGGGATTGGGAGCATGGAAAATTAGGTTATATGATAGAAAGTTCAGTAGAACCTGACGCCAAAGATCCTAGTCACCCCCATTGGATGCAGAAACTTACATAATCATGTCATGGCTACTCAATTCAATGCAGCCACACAATAGCAGTAGGGGTGTTCGCATTAAATGTCAAACCAACCAAACCGGCCCGACCCGACCCGAGTTGGTCAGTTTTTCAAAACCACCAGTCGATTTCGGTTTGTATGAGAAAATAAACCAACTCAGTTCGGTTTCAGTTTTCATACATGAAAACCAAAACTGAACCAAACCAAACCGATACTGTATGTTTATGTAATTAATAATTAGTCCATACCCCATATAATTAATAATCAGAATGGAATAACTTTCTCTGAATTAGAACAATCATTGATTACCCAAAGAGACCTAAACCAGAAGGAAGTGCTAGCTTCGCAACAAGGGAAGTGACTCCTTCATAGCACCTTCTCTTAACATGGCGGACACAGTAGTGTCCATAGTTAGAGATCAAGAGATGCGTCAGAGCTTATATCCCATGGGAGGTGTAGACAGTATTTCAATGGGGGCAGGAACGGATCAAAGGCAACCGACAGCGTTAGAACCTGACCTTAGAGCTTTGAGTCCCCCAATCGGTACTTGAAATGTGGACGAGATCCCAGAGGAGCAGCCACTAGCAGTAGTTTCGACAAGTGAATGGCCACATACAGGTATGCATTATCAGGGCTTAGGGACATTGAGTAAAGGGGACTTGCAATTGATTCCTAGATGTTGAATTTGGGGAATTTTTAGGGTATCGATGAAGGGCTTAGCCATTGATTCCTAGTCCTTCATTGATACCCTAAAAATTCCCCAAATTCAACATCTTGGATAACACCCACAGAGAAGGGTGGAGTTAAACAAGAAAGAATGCTTCGACATCATTGTTGAAGTGGACAGATTGCAAGAGGATTCCCATTATCAAGAGAAAATAGAAGGAAAACTAAGGCCAAAATGGAATTTGATAAATTATCATTCCAAGAGGAAATTAAATGGTGGCAGATATCAAAGTGCTAATGGCTGAAGGAGGGTGGTAAAATATAAATTTTTTTATCAGTAAAGTAGAATTTATTTATTTAAAAGCAGATTACAGTTACTTTGCTACTCCGCTTCCAGAGTACACCACTTTACAAAAACTCCCATATTACATAGATAAACACCCCTGTTTGATACAGCCAGTTACAGTTTTGCCCAAAATAAAGTAGGCCTATCAACTCCCTGTTTTGCTAGAGTATGCCATTCCAAAAAACTGATAAGATACCAGTTTTTCTCACAAAATGGAAAATGCAAGGAGAAGAGAGAATTCAATCAAAAAGCTGGTCGTGGAGGGGGAAGTTGTAGAAGATGAGGCAACTTTAGAGGCGGCTGCAAAACGATTTTTCTCTGACCTGTATTAAGAGGATTGGAAGAGGAGGCCAAAGCTGGATGGACTACCATTCAGTGGTTTATCTGAGGAATAGGCAAGATTACTTGAAAGTTTGTTCACTGAACAAAAAGTATGGAAGGCTATCAATGAAATTCTATAAGAGGTTTTGGGGTTTCCTCACGGAAGACATTATGAATGTGTTCACAGAATTTCACTCTTCAGCAGCTTTCGAAAGAAAAGCCTGAATTTTACCTTCATAGCCCTAATACCAAAGAAAAAAGGAACTGAAGATTTGAGGTGTTATCATCCTATCAGTCTTATTGGGAGTGTTTACAAGATTTTATCCAAAATCTTGGCCAAAGGGGTGAAACCAGTTTTGAGCAGTATCATTTCAGACTTCCAAGGGGCTTTCATCGATGGGAGACAGCTGTCGGATGGAATCCTGGTAGCAAATAAGTTAATAGATGCCCGGATCAGAAGTGGAAGAGATGGATTGTTTTGCAAAATGGATTTGGAAAAAGCTTAAGACAATGTCAATTAGGAATTTCTGGACTACATGTTAGGGAGAACAAATTTCAGCTCCAAATGGAGGAATTGGATGAAGGTTTGTGTAACCACTCCTTTTTCTATGTTAATGAATGGTGTGCCCTGTAATCAATTCAAGAGCTCAAGGGGTTTGAGACAAGGTAACCCTTTGTCTCCCTTGTAATTCTTCTGTGTGATGGAAGCTTTAGGTCAGTTGATCTTGACAGCAGCAAGGGGTGGTTTTTTGGAGGGTTTTACAGTGGGGGAGGAAGAGCTAGAGATACCTATCTTACAGTTTGTGGATGATACTCCGTTCTTTTGTAATGCTTCTAGTGATCAATTAGAGTTCTTAATAGCAACCTTGTGGTGGTTTGAGGCAGTTTCAGGGCTGCACCTGAATGTCCATAAAAAGTGAATTGGTGGCAGTAGGAGAGGTTCAAGACTTACAAATTGGGGTGGACTGCCGGGGTTTCAAGGTGGGTAAGCTGCACATAAAATATTTGGGAATGCCTCTAGGAGCTAAATTCAATGCAAAATCTATTTGGGATCCTATAGTAGATAGGGTGGATAAGAAATCAGCTGCATGGAAGTACAAGTATTTATCAAAAGGGGGGTAAACTCACTTTAATTAAAAGTGTGCTTTCCTCAATCCCAAACTATTTACTCTCCATGTACTCAATGACAGCGGGGATGGCAGCCTTGATTGAAAAAAGAGAGAGAGAGAGAGAAGTCTTATGGAAAGGCTGGAAGAACAATAAGAATATTCATTTAGTAAGCTGGGGAAGGGGTCTGCAGGCACAAGAAAAATGGAGGTTTAGGAATCAGAAAGCTGAGAGATCAAAATATTGCTCTTCTTGGCAAGTGGTTTTGGAGGTTTGGGCAGCAGGAGAATAGCTTGTGGAGTAGGGTTGTTAAAGCAAAATATGGTCTAAGGAACGAGGGATGGGAACCAGGTGAAGCAAGTCATTCATACGGTGGCTCAGTATGGAAAGGGATAGAGAAAATCTATACCCAGTTCGGCAATGAAATCAGTTTTCAAGTGGGAAAAGGAACCAGCATCAGATTTTGGAAGTATTACTGGTGTGGAGGTAGTTTATTGAAAGACAATTTCCCAAAACTGTTCACAGTAGCAGTTGATAAGGAAGAAAAAGTAGCAGACTATTTGCAGCTTTCCAGTGGAAATTGTGCTGGGAATCCCTTATTCAGAAGAGCTTTAAATGACTGAGAAATTGAACCCTTTGCTCTGTCTGCTGCAAAACCATTATAGTACTAATTTTGATCCAATCAGAGAAGGATAAGCAGTTTTCTGTCAGTTCTTTCTATACCAAGCTGACTAGGGAAGAAGTTCAGGAGTTTCCTATGAAACTAATCTGGTGCAATCAAATCCCCTCAAAAATTGCTTTTTTCCTATGGTCAGCCTATTCAATAAGATTCTGACTAAGGGCAATCTTTTGAAGAGAGGTGTGGGAATCAATTCCTCAAATTGTGTTCATTGTAACAGAGAGGAGGAGACTGTTGACCACCTGTTTTTACATTGTAATTTCTCTTATAGCATCTGGGTGAAAGTATACAGTTTGTTTGCCTACAAGGGTTGCTGTCTGGTGTCAGTGGAAAGTTTCTTGGAAGGGTGGCACTTACAAGGTCTGAACAAAAGAGGAAAGGTTATTTGGCAAATGATTCCTGGAGCTGTGTGGTGGTCTATTTGGCAGGAGAGAAACTCCAGAATTTTCCAGAACAAGGGCAATCAAGAGGAGGATATTTGGCAAAAAATTGTGGGAAAATTGTTTCCCTGGTCATCAGCTCAGTTTAACTTAGAAAGCTCAGAATTTAATTCCCTTTTTGATTATAG